TTCTGGTTAATTAGATCATTTTCATCTATTTGCCTTTATTTACCTAACTTCTGGTCAATCAGATCATTATCATGATCATCCCACCTGCTTTAATCATCTAACTTCTGGTCATCTGGGTTATTGGAAAGTATTTATTGGCATCACACCTAATGTTGATATATGGTTTCCATCAATGTTTTCCACTCAGCCCTTCAGCAACGAAGAAGATGCCTAAGTGGAATGTATGATAAGTGCTTGCCGACTGTGGCTGCACCACTAGAGCGACGAGTAGTAACCTTAATTACTATGTAAATATGCTTGACTCATATAGCTTAGATTCTTTAGAAGATAGTGAAAGTCAGTCAAGTGGTGTTCAAATGTGTTATGATGAAGATGCAATAAGACAAGAGGATGCTAGCTCTCAATCTAATGACGATACTCAAGATGATGAACCTGGACCCAGCAGAGGAAGGTGTAAACAGCGTCAACAATGGGAAACATTAATCCCGTTCTCAGTGTGAGGAGGGTGGAAGCACTGGGAAATATATATCCCAGCTGCAGTGAATGGGTTAAGGTCTTTGAAAATGTTTTCTCTTGAAAGAAAAGAAGAGTTAGAGGGGTCCTGATGGAGATATTTAAGATTGTTAAGAGAACTGATGGTATTGATTCATAGGACTAGTAGACACAAGTATAAACTTTAGCAGGGTAGGGGACAGCTTTATTTTTTTAACTGGGTTACTTTCAGATATGGTGGATGCATTAAGTTTAAGGGAAAGCTTGATAAATATTCGAATGATAAAGGCTGACTTAGTGTGTTTTATTGTAAAGTTTGGCCTAGATGGACCAACAGATTCCTTGTTGTCCTTTTATTTTGTCTTATTTTATCTTAAAACATTGAGTTTTGAATTGGACTTACAAAGATGTCAGGCAGTACTTTTTATATTTCCAGAAATTTAGATAAAAGTACTTTACAAATGAAATTCCAAACCTTTGTATTGTGCTGTTTGTTTACATTAGTCACAAACAATTATCAAACATTCATTGTTTATCCAAATTTATTTTCTGTAAAGAAGAGTCAAGTTCAGTCCACAAGTAATTTAAAATTAAAAAGAAACAATAGAATATAACACCACAAAGAAAAGTAATCATCTTCACATGTATATACAGATGATAATGAAAATATTTATGAAATATATAAAATGAGAAAGAATATTCCTAACACAAACCAGTGAAAAGTGCATGTAGATGAATTCTGTTATGGCAACAGGCTAAGAGTTCTTTGGCTTCATCTGATTACTGCGGTCTCCCCGACATTTGGGACAATACCACTTCCCCTTGGGTTTTGTGGTTAGACCAACACAAGAGAAGTGGAACCACTCTATAGTACACTCTTCGTTGTCACAACCAATCATTTCACCAAAAGACACTTGCTCACATAAACAGTACGTTGGTTCGTCTGGGTCGATAGGAGGATCAAGTGGCGATAACTCTCTCTCTGCTTTGGTCTTCCTGCGTTTTTTCTTCTGTTTCCTTCCACCACCTCCACTAAATGTTTCCCTTTCATGCTTATCAGGAAAGCTTTCATCTCTATACATGCTGTCATAATTTCTATGCCTGCGAGCTCGCTTGCTGGATCTTTCTGGCTGTACTTCATTTTTATGATTTTCTGTGTGGTTTACAGTTTCTCTACCAAAATCTGAAAAATTCCAAGTAAATGTAACACACTATGATTCAGAATGAAAGTCACAAAAATAAAATTTAATCTTAATAATCATTGTAGTGTAAATGCTGTAGTTAATCTTACTGAAAACGAAGAGAAAAACCTGTAATCAAGTATTCATGGTTGCAAACAATGATATAACACAGTTGTGTAAATAGACCAGACTAGAACAAAGGTGAATTACCAATAAATATAAATGAAGTTCTTCTCAGTTGTAGTAGAAACTTTTGTCCCATTTATATTCCAATGTGGTTTTTGGAAAGCTCAGAAGACCAAAGATTGTTTTTAATAATACTACATAATATAAATCATGTATTTGTTTTTCCAGACCTTGTGAAAAGTGGAAGGAAGACTTGTCTGGTGTACTAAACATATGAAAAGCTTTCACAAAAAAAGTACACTTAAGCAAATTCGTTAAGCTATTCTTTACATGGAATGTTTATGTACAGTAGATATAGAATATAGGCTAGCTTGGAGCTGGATGATTAACTCGGTATATAACATGCATCCAAAACTAGTAACAAACTGATGCTAGCAGTATTCATTAACCATATATACACAGGGATGGTCCACTGGACTGAGTCTGTCTAGGAGAATTAATGTTTACAGTAATTCTGAATTTACTTAGTGTAAATTCACAAAAAAATCAATTTTTAATAAAGTAGTTCTACAAAAGACTTGTCTGTGAATTCACGATTAGTAATTCCGACTCAGACCCTGAGCAGTCTGAGTGCAAGTTGATTTTCTTGTTAAAGATACAAATATTTTTCATCTTGGTGTTTCAACTGCATAACCTTTAGAACCTCAAAGAAATATCAAAAGTTTTTTGTTTTTTTATCTAGAAAATTATATTCATAATGCTTGAAATTTATTGTCCTTACCAGTTGTTGATTTATAACCCCTGAGTGGCTATTATTATCATAATTTGCTCCAACATATAATACAAAAAAGTCCCTCTACACATTATAAACTTTAATGTACAGAATTCCTGATCTTTCTGTGAAGTTAACCAGGACAAACCTGCTTGTGAAACAGACTTGTTTCTGTAGTTGTTCTTCACTTATACACTACATTAAGGGAGAGGTCAGCTTGATGATGAGTTACAAGTAGTCAGATGAATAAACAAACTACACGTCTTTATGGGACAATTACAGCATAAAGAAACATTGTTTCATAATGTAGTAGTAAATCATTAAGGGGGGTGTCATTTTTTAATAATTATGGACACTAGAAAATTCATACAAAAGTATAACAAAAATTACCATTAAATATTCACAGTAAAAAAATTTTGTAGTTGAAAATATCTTAACAATGTTTTTTGTTTCCATTTTCTTTAAATTATGATCGTTATAATAATAATAAGATTCAGGGATACTATTTATCAAATGGTCAATGTTTACCTAAGTTTTTATGGTCTTGGTCTAACTGGCGAGACTTGTTTTCTATAAGATCTTGCATCTGTTGCAGCAGTTGAAGTTTCTCGTCACCAAGATCTTGTGATCGAATAAGGGCTCTTTGAATCTGGAGTAATGTGCGCTTTCTGGTACCACCATCTATTTCTTTTTGCAGTGATATTTGGTGGTGATCAAGTTCCTGAAGGACTTCTGGCAAATCAAACAATAAAACTAATCTCTTTTAATATTAAGTAACACTTGAAATTAATATTATGAAATAAATATTTCAATAATTTAAAACAAGATTATGTTTACTGTGCATTATATTTTGTATTTTACAAATAAAAGATTATCCATAATTTATTAGGGTTACTAAGCATAGTGTATTTGAGACCAAAAATTAGGCTGGAGGGTGGTCACAAAAATAACCCAGATGACCATAAGTCAGATGATTAAAGACAGGTGGGTGATCATGATAATAATCTGATTGACCAGAAGTTAGATGATTAAAGACAGGTGGATGGTCATGAAAATAACCCAGATGACCAGAAGTTAGATGATTAAAGACAGGTGGGTGATCATGACTCATTTTACTGCTATACGTCACAATTCTGAATGACAATGGGAAACATTTTTCTCCCACGACATTAAACTATGTAAGTTGGGCCTTATGTTTCAGTTTTACTTTTTTTAATTGCACTTTTTGTGTAGAGCAAACTGTCAAATGAGAAGTGTGAAACAGATCAGTTATCCCATGTAAAGATAGTGATTCAAAACTAGCAGTAATTGATTTATTAGAGAAAGAATTGGTTTTATTTTCTGATATGACATGCTCTAAACTAAAGCCATATTAAATTATATAACTACATATACACACTTCTACTTGTTATTAATATCTTGTATTGAAGTAATTTAATACAACAAAACATGTTATGCTACTATTATTATGTTGACCGTGTAATTATAGGACACATTTTGAGCATAAGAAGAAAGAAAATTGGTTTGTTTTTTCACACAGGAGGATTTGGAAAATGGAGAGGAGGTAGCAACCTGTCCAAGTTGTTCTTTGATTGTGAAAGTGATATATGATCCTGTAAGTAGTGCACTAGTATAATCTGGTGTGCAGAACCAATTTAACATTACTTGCTGTTTCACATTTAAGTGTCTTTTGGTAAATAATCTATAAATATTACTCATTATCACTATCATATATAACTCATGTAACCACTTACTACTTACCTAATGAGGAACCTACACATCAAAGCTAGTAGTACAAGTTAAACTATGCTGTCATAGCTCAACAGTCAGTAACATGACTTTAATCCTGTGTGATGTGTTTGTTGGTCATTTGTTATTTACAGAAATATGTAAAGTAAACATGTGACATCCATGCATGCTGAGCTGCACCTGGGGAGATATAGAGTAATAAGTGTAAGAAGACACTCAACACTAAGTGTTATACCAAGTATTTTACAGGTGCCCATTAGTGTTGTTAGTAATGCTGATAAATTGTAAATGTTATCACTGTTTAAACTGCTCCTAGAAACAGGTGAAGTCTCTTATGTTTAACTAGTTAAGACTAATGTTGATGTGTTGCAAGTACATTATCAAGATAATAAATATATTTAAGCACTTTTAAAGCCACACAGACTTTCTTTTAAGGCTTAGTTAACAATGTTACATTGATGTCATAAAGATACTTTTCTCTACTTGTAAACAGAAATAAAAAAACTATTGATTTGTTTTGTCTGTTTATTGTACATATATATTCATACATTTTTTATGGGTGAGACAATCAAATATAAGTTTGGTTACTTATGCCATTGTACTAGTAGAACTATACTTAAGATTCTAAGTGACAGAACATGTGAAGTAGTTGAAAGCTAGTATAAATCTAATTTCATAATTCCCTAACATAACTTGCCTATATTTAATTCTTTTAAAGGTTTATTGAATTCTGTATAACACCCAGATTTCTTTAATTGACATATTTTTGTATTATTGTGTTTTTTGATTTTCGTTATTTAATCTGTCATAACTTAGAAGCCCTTCAGTCTAGAAATTATGAATATATGGACCACACCATTATTTGTTATTCTCACTACCTTTAATGTACTTTTTTTGGATTTTTTTCAGGAAGATTTTTTTACTGAAGATGAAGAGAATTATAAAGTAAAATCAAGGCAGCTAGAGATAGTGCAGTGAAAAATATTATATTTAAACATTCATGTAGATATCTTTTGTTTTATTTTTAGTGATCTCAATAAATGTACTTAATATGCTTTTACATAACTAAGTTCTTGTCCATACTTTTCCAATAAATCATGGAACATCAACTTTTCTTTGGGGGGGAACAAGTAACAACTGTTACCAAAAAACACAAATGAAAATAACATAACTAAATCTCATGATCCCAATATATATATGTTTTGTGTAGAACAGTGGTTTTCAAACCATGTTCCTGCAAACCCCAGGGTTCTGCAAGGGGTCATCAGGGTTCTCCACAAAGATAACAGGTAATGTTTTTTTTTCTGTTATTTAGTGTTAACTCATCAGGGGCCAAACATATTTTTAAATACTTATTTGTACATAAATTTGCCATTTTACATGAATGTATGATAAGAGAGGAACAAAATGTAACTTCTAACGAGGTTTTAAGGGTTGAGGTTCTGTGATAGAAGTAATGAAAGAAGAGGGTTCCATGGCTTTCTAAGGTTTGAAAAACACTGGTGTAGAACGACAGCTACCATATTCTGTGTTGATTCTTTGTGAACAATCTTTATTAGGCTTGTTTTATGAATGTATGACAAATCAAAAATTGAAAGATGTTCCCTGCTATTTTAAATATTAAAATTATAGTTCTTTCACAGAGTTAAAATTTATGAAAGAAGTGTCATCTCAACAGCAGGTTTTCTTTGGTCCCTCAATTATAAACTACTTTACCACATTTATGGTAGGGACTCTGGTTATTTTATTTATGATGAAATTAAGAATTGGCACAATGAGGGTTAAAGTCTAGATGTGGCTATCAAGAAACATATTGTGGAAGAGTATAATCCATGAACACTAACTTTGGATGGAAAGTCTGTCGTACAAGGACAGGTTAACCCTTTCACCATGGCTGGTATGCATATTTCCTGGTGTTCCCACCTCCTCACCAGGCCTTATGTTTCTGTTCTAATATCAGTCAGTAAAACTATGTAATTTCGACATTCCTAATATCACAGTCAGTAGCATGTCTGTGGGCCTTATGTTTCAAAATTACATAGTTTTACTGACTGATATTAGAACAGA